TGCGTGGTTTGGATAAAAGGGGAAGTTGAGGCTGTTTGTGCCAATAAGTTTAAATTTATTTTGAAGTAGCAGCGTCATAGATCTGTCTGCTTCAAGTCTTCACTTTCATGTCTGCTTTCTGCGTTTTCTGTCTTGAATGAAGATTAAAGCTGTCATTGAACGGTCCTCTTGGTAAGATCTCCATTCTTGATCTGCATATTACTTTGAGATGAACAATCCAAATCCAAGAACTTTATTTTGGCTGAAACTTAAAAATCCTTTAAGAACTGGGAAATTCTTCTAGTTTGAGTAGTGAGGAACAAATTCTTCTTCTACGGTAGAGCTCAGTGATTTTGCAGTGCAGATTAAATAATGAAGCGCCCTTGATAATAAGACCTGGGTCTGCAAGCTAGAAGTGTAAACAGGGCAGAGAACACCCACTGGAACAGATGTCAGCTGTACAGGCTTGAAAAGCACAAAGCTTGACTTTGTCAGCAGCGATCTAGTGCCAATATGGCTGATAGATGAGAAAATAATGATGATACGCAATCGCTGGAAAGGGCGCAGGTTGCACGTGATTAATTGCTTACAGCAGATAGTTCGTATATGTAAGGACATGACTAAGGTTCCTGAGCCTAGACTAGTCACAAAATGGTACCTGGTCTGGCATGTGTTAGCCATGAAAGGGTATTATACAATAGAGATGAGAAATGTTCACGTATAGCTTTTGAAGTTATGGGGCTTGTGTGTGAACTCACCATGTAACTTCAGTAATGATTAGCGCTTAAGTCCGTGCTTGATACTTGCATGAAGTAATGATTAAAGAAATGCATGGAGACGATAATAACCAGACAAGTTATGCGTTGTTAGCTCTTAATGCTAGATTATTTGGACGCGACTGGGTACTTTTTGATCGCTAATTGATCCTGCGTTACGCTTGTGATGGCGTGCTCAAGAAATCTACCTAGAAGTTAGGTGCTGAGTTGAGCTTTGGGATTTGGGAAGTGTGAAGAAGTCTGGTCCCTGAAAGAGAGGGGATGAGAAACAAAGTCTGGAGAGGGCAACGACCGAGCAGCTGCTCTCAGACCCCGTTAGCAGGTTGGATTGCCTGCAAGTGTGATAGGGGTCATTGAGGGGGGCAGACTCGAAAGATGAATTGATGCCTTCCAGTCCTTGCTTCCAAGTAATCCACATTGTGCTGTTTCCCATCTACAAATCCTAAAAGGAATATACACACACGCACGCAAGCGCACACGCAAGCACACAAGCAAGCACAAGCTCAGCAGAAATAATACGTCTTTTGTACTCATTGCATATTCAATAGCTGTGTATTCCACTTTTTTAAAGGAAAATTCTGTCGGTAGTGGGTTGATCTGTCTGTCTCTTTAGAACAGCTGTACATGACAGTTCAAGAGCGAGGGTTATGCTCCAGAGTTTAAGGGTGGCCTCTCTAGGAATCAGAAGGGGAGGGTACTTGATGTTCCAGTAGGCTGAGAACTGTTCTGAGGAGGATGTTGCCCCTGAGCCCCCTTTGAAGGATGAATAGATAGATAGGTTCCACCGCATTTGAGCAAATTACTGCTCTGAAGGTCTACTCTGATCTTTTGTTCTTGGATCATGCTTTGGAGCCTTCAGTGTTAAGCCTGTCTAATGTGATTGTGGTGATCCAAGACATTCCAGCCTCCCAGACGCTCCTTGTTATGCGTCCCCCTGGAGAGCACCGTTCTGTATTGTACCCTGCAAAAGGGAACATAGCCCCATATCTTCATCATCAATTTAAGCTAACACATCAAACTGGCTAAAGTAGTATGTAAGAGACCAGAGCCTCACTTAAAAAAAAATCTGGTCCAAATTTGGTGGATTAATTTTAAGTTCATGCACACTGAGAGATATTCAATGCTTGTTGATGGAAAGGAAGTAGTTAAGAAAACTTGCTTTTAGAGATCCCATGAGGTGCATGTTCTAAGGCTACAGTTTTTTGAATTAGCTATTACAGCCATGGCTTGAGCTGCCTAAAATAAACCACCACGGATCCAGGAGCCCTGTAGCCGTGTCAGCTCAGTGTTGAATCTGTGTTAATACACATTGCCTTTTTGAACACAACCTGTTCAGACATCATCTGCCTGGTGGTATGATTTCAACATGTGACTCAAAAAGGGTTTAAAATTTATCATCTGCTTCATAAACCATGCAATCTCCAGTAACCATTGGCTTTTCCCAAGATGACATTGTATGAAAATCAGGGGATTGTAATACACAAAACCACATTAATTCCTTTCCTGATCTTCTTCCTCCTTGCTAATTATTTCTTTTGTTAGTGTGCTGCCCTAGAAAAAAGTCTGAAATTGTTTCCTGTTCGGTTTCTAAAATGTTGACAGTCGTCAATGCTTTGTATCATGAATTCCGGGCACACAGAAATGCTCTTAATAGTTATCATGATTAATGGGTAAAGTTAATTATTAATGGGTGTTAGTTTGACATCCCTGTGAGTCATGAATGTCCTATCCTCATTTTGTATGTGGGGAAACTAAAATGAGACTGGCTCTACTGAAGGACCTAGGAACATCAAGACTTAGATGCTCCAGTATCTAATTTCAGTCTCTTCCTGGAATCCAGATTTCGGGATGAGGTGTGTCTGTTTCCTCTGCAGCGAGTGGCGCCCCAGGGCAGGATCCAAGGCATCCAGAAGGCTGATGGGCGCTGCCAAAGTGAGCGACTACAAAATGTTTTACCCAAGTGCGGCACTCCTCTCCGCCCTCGCTCCTGAAGCTTTGTACAGCGCAGCGTCAGGCTTGTGGGGCTGGAAAGAGGGAGCAAGAGAAAATGTGACTTTGTAGCTTATGGCTTTGAGAGGAGATGGGGTTCTCCTCCCTGTTCCCAGTGCTTTGTGTATTTTCCACACTTATTACAAAATATTAGGTTGATTTTTTTTTTACCCCTCTCCCTGTTCAGTGTGAAACACCAAGGCAGTCTCAGGAACGTGAAGCTGATGCAACTGTGTCCCTGCAGGGGCTATGGGGCCATTTTCTTGTCTTCCCACCGGCTTCCCCTGCGGCTCTGGTGTGCTCTGCTGTGCAGTAACACAGCCGCGACAGGCTTCAGCCTGTGAATGAACACACGTGCATCCAGTCTTGGTGAGGGGTGTAAATGCTTCACAC